AAAATTTAACCTTGTCCCTGAACTTATGCAATAACACAGGATATGGCAGTGATTAGTAACAGAGTATTTATACCTAAAAGTCACCCTTTTGTGCAAAATGTCAGTTTAAGTGACCTAACCCCACGATTCGTTGAGAACGGTCTGACCCAGTTAGAAGCAATGTCAAGTGGAGTAATGGCTGATACACTTGAGTCTCCCGAGACTCAGTCTCAGCCTGAGGTACTTTGGTGCTAATGTTCTGCCACCCCAGGGCAGGAATTAACCCTCGTCTAGTGACTAGGGATTATTCTTCTAGACCTTTCTCAGGCTTAGTTGACTGATCAGATGTTTTAAAGTAAATGAAGCTAAAAAACCCAAATTATGAAAAACCCTAGTTTCTACATATGCTGAGATTTTGTGAGAATGGACAGTTATGCTATCATTCTTATCATAAATTTTAAAACCCAGCTTCTAAGAATTATCTTAGTGAAACCATTTCGTAGGTGGCTGTCACCAAATCTGCCCTGTTTATTCTCCTTGATGCCTGAGGTCAGTATTTTTAAGACAGATCGTATGTACATGTTAATCCTCTCATCCCTCTTCCATTGATTTCTGTCATGTTCTGATTTTTTTATGAAATAAGTTAGCCATTAGCAGATTTGACTTTGCAAGTTTGTAAACGACTCCACTTGATGCCCCCTGACTTTGCAGGGATGTTGAGTTTGCTGGTAAACCCAAAGCCAGAGCTGCCTGCTCTCCAGCCCCTGTTAGGAGGCAGTTAGAGTGTGGTTAACTCATGTCCCTTTGATGTATAGTTAACAGAGAAATCATTACCAGAAGACAGTTTAAGCAACGTGCTCTAAATTGTCTTTTGTAACTGGAGAAATCTATATCAACCCTGGTCTTCTTATCTCCTGTATCTAATCTCTTTAAACTCACTGATCTTGTTTTGTGTTTTTCTGAATTCAGGGATAAAAGTATTGAGTCAGAATCTTTTAGTACCTCAGTCAAATTCAGAGTTCAAGACCTTTTTTTAATAACCAGAAAGGTGGCCCCTGAATAGAGCCATTTGCTGTCTCCACTCGGGTGTGACAGTAAATGCCCTGTGCTGTCCTGCGCTGATCCCGCCCCAGTGACACCTGACGTTCCTGTCACCTAAGAAGTGCTCTCAGCGTGTTATATGTGATTCCACATATCTGAAGGAAATAGGTGCACACTTTTAAAAAAGAGATATTAATAAGGCATATATTATGACTTTCTTTTGGAAGATTTACCTGGTGGGGAAAAAGCATTTACATATCAGTTGGCCAAAAAGCTGATGTTCTAATAGTAAAATCTATGGGTTTAGCTCACATTCGCTTTATCAAAGATTAGTCTTTAAATATTATCAGTGTTGCTGGAACATTATATTATATCACCTCCAGGCCAGAAGACCCAAATCCTTAAATGCTGAAGAATTCATTTTCCTATAAGTAAGTGGTAGTAAGCCAGAGGAATGGCTCCCACGTGGTCTTTGCCTGTGTAGCCCCATCCTCCCTAACTCCGAAGAGTTGACTTCGAAAAAACCACTAGGACTGTGGGGCAGAGGGTTACAGGGCAGAGATCTTGTCACCCCTTTTTTTTTCCAGCTTATACGCTGTAGAAGTGGGTCTGTAGACCTCCAGAAGACTGTATTTTAGGTCAGAGACGCCAGGGAGTGAGAGATGTCGGACACTAAAAGGAGACCAGGAAAGGCGCAGGGCTCCCTGGTTTAGGATACCAGCTATCCATTGATTCTTTTGTTTTCTGTTTATCAACGTATGTTTACATAACTTAAATGTAATCATCTAAAGTAAGCAAAACGTGTGACAGAATCATTGTACCCTCTGTCAGAGGCTGCTTGAACAGTGCACTCGGCTCAGGGCCGTGGGTGCCACAGTGCACACACCGGCCTCCAGGCCCTCGGCTCTGGGAAAGCCCTCACCTTGCCCTCAGCTCTCTGCCTCCCCTCTTCCCCCAGACGGGGGCATGGACCGAGTATGACACGCATGAGCGTGCGTCAGCATCCCAGCTAGCTTTCTGTTCTTCTCTCTTCCAAGGAATCACCTGAATTAAGTTGGCCCTTATCCCTTTTATTCAGAAGCCTTAAAAAAGGCTTCTTGGTAGAGATCCTCTGGTTTAACTTAGGAAAGTATGAGTCAGCAAAAGTAAAGTAGTTGTCTGGCACCTTTTTTCTTAAAAACCAACTAACTCCACAGTGGTGCAGAGTGAAGCTTTGTATAGACAGTCCCCAGCCCCACACTTATAAACGACTTGCTTACAAGCAGTTCACACCCACCCAGCTCCACCACCGCCACTACCAGAGGTCTGGGTGTCTCTGTCAGGGGAGCCTTTGTTTTTTAAAAGGTGGCGTTTTTAAATAACCCTGTCAGTCAGAAGTAGAAGGGCAGACGATTTCCAAAACTGCAGTGTTAATAGTCTCTCCCGTAAACGGATTTTTTCACGTCAGTTTGTTATCCCACCTGAAATTCTACTTATGTGGCTTAACCGAACCCTTCGAATTTTTGGCTAGCTCATACACTAATTCCAAATATACTAACACTTTATTATAGAAAAATTGTGAAATATAAAGAAACAAAAGAATGAAAATGGCCTTTGACCTACCACCTTATAAAGTGTTTGTAAAGAGCCTCTGTTAAAATTTATCTGTGTAACAGACCTACTAGAGAATGGACTTGAGGATATGGGGAGGGGGAAGGGTAAGCCATGACAAAGTGAGAGCGTGGCATGGACATATATACACTACCAAACGTAAAATACATAGCTAGCGGGAAGCAGCCGCATAGCACAGGGAGATCAGCTCGGTGCTTTGTGACCACCTAGAGGGGTGGGACAGGGGGGGTGGAAGGGAGGGAGACGCAAGAGGGAAGAGATATGGGAACATATGTACGTGTATAACTGATTCACTTTGTTATACAGCAGAAACTAACACACCATTGTAAAGCAATTATACTCCAATAAAGATGTTTAAAAAAAAAAGCTATACATTTAAAAAAAATTTTATCTGTTTATGAAGTCATGCTTCACGTACTGTTTTTTCATCTGCTTACCTTCTTTGCAGGGTGGGGGGTGGGTGGGGTGCCGGTGCTGGTGGTGCCGTTGGATCTGGAAAGCCTGACCCTTTCTGACCTTTGCACTCTGGTGTGGACTAGCGTGGTCTGTGCCTGGCCCCGAGCCCAGCAGAAATTGGCCGCCCCCCCCCAGGGAGTGCGAACTTGGAGGGGCAGTGGTAGGAGGAGGAACCTGAAGGGTGGGGCTGGGGGCAGAGCGGCATGTGGGAATCACACGCCTGAGGGCTGGGGCACTCAGGCTGGGGCAGGACGTGCGCTACAGTGGAAAATGCCAGACACGTACCCGTTTTAAGAATATCTGTGTCGACCGGTGAACTTTGTAATATTTTCGATGAAAAGCAAGCTATTGGCTCAGCCTTAAACTGACAGCTTTGCAGCCATCACCAGGAACCCAGTGGAGACGCGTGATGATTTTTGGAATTCTCGTCAGGGGCCGCTGGGTTCTGTCAGCTGTGTCCCACTGTTCCCCGGGAAGACGTCCTTTTCCTGGACTGTGTCAGCCCAGCTCCTGTCAGAGGCCTCCCAAGCCTGCGACTTGATCTTGGTGGGCGGCACAGAAGCAGCTTTGTAAAAAAGGTTTTTAGGGTCCATGCATTTCCATTGTTCACCAGGCTACTTTACGTGGGCCATCTCCCCAGTTCATTTCTCCTAGAGATTGCTTCTCTCGGCACATTTTAATGTCTTCTTCATCAGGCTGTGGAAACTCAAAATAGCCCAGCTGCCGCCCACTTTGCCTTGCTGACAGGAAGGTCAGAGCCAATTCATTGTCCTCTTTATATATGTTTGTTATGTTAAGCTTACCTCTAAATATTTTAGAAGAAATATACTCTAAATAGATTAATAAAAATAGTATTTTAAGTCTTTGTCTAAGATGAACCCTGAGTTCAAGAATAAAGAATATTCATCTCCCCCACTCAGCCTACACCTTAGGCAAATAAAGCAGTCCTGCTATTCTGCCATGGGCTCTCGGGGTTTTGTAGGTCACCCAGGGACTTAGCCCTGGTCAGTACACAGTGTTCGTGAGAAAAATGCGTTCAAGGTTTTGAGTAGCAGAACCTTTTTTCTAAGTCTGAGACCCTTCAGAATCTCCATAATTCCGGAGCCCCACAGGCGGTCTAGCTGCCGGGTGAGACAGACTCACCAGCGGGATGACTGCACTTAGTACCTCCTGAGTGGCTAGTCTGTGCCAACAGCTTCAGACACCTTCTCTGACGCAGGTGTTCCCACCCATTACATACTATTAAACAATGGATCTCAGTTCCTTGCCCGCACTCCGAATAGCAGAGGATAAATCTGCAAGTGCGAGTCTCCTGAACAGTACTGGAGGTGCTTGGAACGCGGCCAGCCCTCGGGACTGTGGGTTGATAATGCCTCAGGAGGCCAAATGAGTAAAAGAAGGTGTTGAAATTTTAGAGGGATCAGTGACTCCTCCTCTCTGCTCTGAAACAAAGGGCTGCGTTTGAATGTTCCACCTGTGATTGTCTTTCAGTTCTTTAGAGCTACCATATACCGCCCCTTTGGAAAGTAAACAACGTCGAAATCTCCCAACCAAGATTCCTCTTCCAACTACATTGACAAGTGGATCCAAACCACGAAATTCCCAGAAAACAAAAGGTATTTTCATTTTTCATCATACAGATGCCCTAATGATTCGTTGTGTTGGTAGTTGTGAGTTGGCAGTAATCAGTCAGTAGTTACCAGTCATAGGACGGCTACGGTTGGGTTCTCATTCTCATTAGAAGAGAATGGGTTCTTTGAAATTGGCCCGAAAGAAAGGCATTATCCTCCATAACAGCCTTCTTTTCTGAATTCTCTACAGGTACAAATAAGTTAGTGGATAACAGGCCACCTGCCCTAGCAAAATTCCTCCCAAATAGTCAAGAACTAGGCAACACCAGTAGCTCAGAAGGTGAAAAAGACTCTCCACCGCCAGAGTGGGATTCCGTGCCCGTTCACAAGCCCGGCAGCTGTAAGTATGGTGACCTGGAGACCACGGGCTCTCCGCACCCACAGCCCACCCAGCTCTGGGCCGGAGAACCGCGGTGGGGATGGCCGGGGCACGTATTGCTTTAGAAGGAGACCCAGTGTCTAGTCTGCCAGAGCCGGCTCGCAGCAGCCAGCAAAAGCTGCTGTTCAACAGTCTGCTGGTCGTTAAACTGTTGCAGCTTAATCGGCCGTGGTGGGAGTATTTACACCAGAGAAATCGGCAGACGATCCAGAGGGCTAGTCAGAGTGTAGGGGGGATGGAAGGATCTGCGTAGAGCAGTGAATCACCCAAAGTACTGCCTCCTGAAAGCGTCAGCTCAGCAGCCCTTTACCTGACTAGTTTCTCATACATTTACACTGTAACTGCTTTTTGTAAACATGCAGTTTATTCCCAGTTTACCCACATCTTTTCCATAAACCTATGTTAGTTCTCTCACTAGCCTCTTGACCTCGTTCCTCCGGTCAGGCCTGCAGGAAATTGTGAAAGTAGCACCGTCTCCTAGAAGAGGGTGGAGGTCCTCGCCCTCTAGAAATTTAAGACCTGGAACAGAAGATGACAGAGAGCAGCACAGTTGAGGGCCTGGTGGCAGGGCTTGGGGGTCAGTCCCTTAGGGCTGATTTGTCTACACTCACCGAGGTGTCAGAACGGCCTCCGTTTGGCCCATTTGTGCCAAAGGGAAAATGAGAGTTGCGCACCAGGTTTGAGGCGAAGGAGGCTTAGAGAAGAGGGGGTGGTGAGTTGAATGAGGGCGAGGAACTCGGAAACTCGGGTGAGGTGTGCGTTAAACACGCACCTTTGTAAATACATACTGGAAAGAGATGCTCCCTGGGTTAGAACCTGCAGCCCCGTGATTGCTGTGAAACTTTCTGGTGCCTTATAGTACTGTATTTTTGCCTGAGATGAGAGAGAGAATCCAAAACCCCTGGTCATTCAAGAAGTGTTGAACAAGTCTCTGGGTCGTCCTGGTGTCCCGGCTGATGCTTTTGAGTCCTTGGGTCCCCTCTGAGGTTTCAGCTGGATATTGGTCCTCAGCTTATACCCTGGGATTGGGGTGGTTCCTGCACAGAGGAAGCTGCATTCCAGTGTAGGGAATAAATACCATGTGCCCAGGGAGCCCGTTTCATGGGGTTGTCTGGGGCGCAGTGAAGTAAACGCAAGCCGTGCCAGCCTCAGCACCGACACAAGCCCGAGGGGTATCCTGCAGGGAGAGGGTGTGGGCATCAGGTCAGCAAACCCTGGAGCAGGTGAAGAAGGGGTTCTCCACGTAAGCACGGGTGAGAGCGGGGCGGGTGGAGACGGGTCGGTGGATAGGTGCCAGGACCGTGGGGGAGGGGCAGGGAGAGTCACCGGGGCGGGTGCACGGTGGCTCCGGAGATGGGACAACTCCGCCTTCGAAGAGAAGGGTGCTTTGTTTGGCGGGGCGCACCATAGATGTGCGAGGTCGTACCTTTTTCTGATACAAGTTGTGTGTTTCCATTCGGTGAGTGTAGAATCAGTATTCTTTTGTGACACTGAAAGTTTTTCTGTTTTAAATTTTTAAAACAGCTGTGCCTTAAAGGGCAGCAGGAATATAGTAGGAGTTCCTATCCTTGTAAACCAGGGACCACACCAGGTGGGCCCACGGAGTGCGGGGGTCATCCTGGAGGAGCTGGGGGTGTTCTCCTGGGGCCGCACCTGCGCAGTTCGGACCTGTGTGGAAGATCAGAGGCTTTCAGGTCCCGGCAGAGCCTCCACCTGCCCGTCCCTGAGGGGCGTGGAGAGGCCTCCTCCCAGCCTGAGGTGTGGGAGGGAGAGGACCACGCCCTCCGGCAGGGCCTGCAGAACGCAGCCGGGAGGTGGGTCACAACGGTGATTCCGGGAAAGGCCCAGAATGCAGAGAGAGACACGACTTCCCTTTTTTTCTTTAAACAGAACACGTATGACAGCTGTAGGTTCTTCTTGTTAGAAGCACTTGAGTCCTGCATAGCACCAGCTAGAACGCCAGAAGTAACCAAAACTGAAGGGTAAAAATCCAAGTATCACATCGAGACCCTTATGTTTTTAACTTCCAGACCCTTTGTTTTTAACTTCCAGCTACCGACAGTCTTTATAAACTCTCTCTGCAAACCCTCAACGCAGACGTCTTCCTAAAACAACGCCAGACCTCGCCGCCGCCCAGCTCCCCGTCACCGCCCGCCGCCCCCTGCCCGTTCACGTCCCGGGGCAGCTACAGCAGCATCGTCAACGGCAGCCCCGGCAGGTAGGCCCGCAGCCCCCGCCTGTGCCGCGCTAATCCGGTACTGCACCCCATAGGTGGGAATCCTCGGTGGCCGCAGACGGCCGTCCCTTGTCGCCTCTTCTCTCAGCGGGCTCAGCGCCCTCCCCACAGCGCCGCCTTCCCACCCGTCACCCGTGCCCAAGGGGCACCAGGGTCATGCTCTAGGCCAGGAGCCGGGAGCACACTCAGCGAGGACTGAAGACCCACAGCAGCTGCGCGGTGGGCAAGGAAGTGGGTCTGCGGGTCGTTCCCTCTGGCCTGTGGCGGGACCTGGAGGAGGTCGGAGCCTAGCATGGAGGGCTCCTCCAGGCAGTGACAGTGACCCCCATGGTGATGACACTCGAGCAGGGGCCGCCTGTTCCCGCACACGCGGCGGCGCGCGGCCCAGCCCACGGCCACCTTGCCCGTGTGGGAAGAGGCAGGAAGCCCCGGGCCTGGTGGGCACTGGCCGCCGGGGCCCTCGCACAGGGGCTGCTCACCTGCCCACACGCTCCGCTCCATCCAGCTGCCCGGCATTCCCTCCAGGACGGGGCTGCCTCCTTTCCCGGCCCCTGCCTCTCTCCCGCACCTGGAATTTTACCTTTCTTCCACATTCCTTCCCCTCCCACCCCGTCCTCCCAGGCTACACAGCCTCAGGCCACAGAGCATTTCCTGAGGCCTGGCCAGGCCCTGTTGGCTGCCCAGGGCCGTCCCCGGCTCCCTCGAAGGCCCTGGGACATGTGCCCGGCGGGCCTCCGTTGGGGGCATTGCCCACGAGGACTGAGCTGTTCTCTCCTTGCTTCTTCCCTCAAGCGATTCTAAAACAAAGCATTCAAACGGAAGCAAACACAAACTGACAAAAGCAGCCTCGCTCCCGGGCCAGAACGGCAACCCCACGTTTGCTGCAGTCACGGCCGGGTACGACAAGAGCCCAGGTGAGCGGCTTGGCACTGGAGACCGGGCACCGCTGGGCCTCGGGCCTGGTGGAGGTACCTGCGGCCTGGCTGCTTTGATTGACTCGGAGCCCATTGTTACAGGTGGGAACGGCTTTGCTAAGGTTTCTTCAAGCAAAACAGACTTTTCCAGCAGCCTTGGCGTGTCACACACTCCCGTTGACAGCGATGGCTCAGACAGGTACGTTTGGCCCTTCTTACCAGGGGAGGGCAGGAGGGTTTCCCAGGCCAGTTTAGCATCTTCTATCGTATGTGTGTTTCGAGGCGTTTGCCCCTAGGTGACAAGCAGGTGTTTGTCGGAGGCGGTCAGGAGCCTCTCTGTTGGGTGGGGCAGAGCCCCGAGTGCCAGTGCGTGCTCCCACCTGGCTCCCTGATGGGAGGAGGGGCCGCGACATGTTCTGGCCCAGCGGAGAGGGAGACAGACTTGTGTTCCACCTTCTGAGTCTCTTCTGATCCTTCTCCGTTATCATGGTTGTTGTGAAAAGGATGTGATCTGATCATTAGAAGTAGAAGAACAAAAACGCACTCGAGAGGAAGGACACGGAACAAATTCTAGGCAGTTTATTATAAATTATTGGACAGGCCACCTCTCTGACCCAGAGCAACCACAGTGGCCTGGTGGCATGCAGCGACTGCCTCGGTTCATTTTCCCAGATAAATAACGATGACAATAAGATTATAACTGTCAGTAAGTAGAGTCCCAGTTTTACCTGCTTGACACTAAAAGGAAATTAATCCTAGATTTGAAATAATTTTTTAATAAATCTTCCATTACCAAAAGGGAAACAAGGAAGAAACGCCTCTTTTCTCTGCATGACACTTTCGCTGAGCCAGGCCGTCAGCTCACGACAGGGTAGCCTGGGCTCTGAACTCCTCCGTGCCTCCCTCCTTTGTGTTATGGAAGGTGTTTCCAGTCCCCACTTCTGCCTGTAATACGTGAGCCCCCAGCTGAAGCAGCGCCTCCTGTGTATGAAGCCGTGCGTGATGGATCTGTCTCCACTAACCATCACATTTTTGTGTGTTGCATTTTCCTCTTATAACGTTCAGCTCGGGTTTGTGGAGTCCCGTCAGCAACCCCAGCAGCCCTGACTTCACACCCCTCAATTCGTTCTCGGCCTTTGGAAACTCTTTTAACCTAACTGGTGGTGAGTGTTTAACACTAGACCCATGACTAATGAGCCTGTGGACAAGGACGGAGGGAGGATAAGGTCCACTTTCATGTGTGGAGGAAAGTACGATGGTCATTTAGTGGACATTTTTAAAGGATGCGTTTCCCTGTATCAGTGCAGTCAGGCGGCAGCAGATGGGCCGACTTCAGGGAAGTGGGTCTGTCCGTGCTCTCGTGGACGCAGTCTGGCACAGCTGCCCAGGTGTGAGGAGGCCCAGCGAGAGGCCCTCAGAAGGGTCCTCTGTCCGCTCGGCACCCCAGCCTGTAGGTGCGGTGGTCTGCTCGATGCTCTGCGGGTCCCCGCTGGCTCGTGTTGCGCAGAACTGACTTAAGAGCTGCAAGAAAGGATTCTGCGTCTGAGATGTGACTCCTGGCCATGCTGGGGCTCTTTATTTTTCTTGCTGTCCAGAATTAGGGGCAACTGTGTGAATTTCACATTAGCTGTGATCGTGATGTTTGCACTTGACCGTCCAGTGATAGGTGTGGGTGAGGTATTCAGACGGCGTGCTGGGGTCTGGAGAACAGCACCCCGCACCCTGTTTTCCCCGAATGTGGTGGGAGCTGATGGAGGGGGTGGGATGGCTCCAGGTGAGCAGCGGTGGGATGTGGACCCCTGAGGGGACGCCCCACCTGCCCCGGGGAGCACGGCCACATCCAGCACGGACTTGCCTTTGCTTCCTCACCTCCAGAAGTTTTCAGCAAGCTCGGGTTATCGCGATCGTGCAATCAGGCCTCACAGAGGAGCTGGAACGAGCTGAGCAGTGGCCCCTCATACCTCTGGGACTCTCCAGCGACCGAGCCCAGCCCTTCTTGGCCAGCCAGTTCCGGTTCCCCGACCCACACGGCCACAGTGAGTACTGGGCTTGGGCCCCACCCGCTCACACGTCATCACTGCCGTCGCTGTCCCTTGGGTGGTGCTGACAGATATAAATGACAAACAGCAGCTCGGAAGGCGTGGGTTAGCGCTTTCACCACCTCTGCTGCTGTGTCTTCATTTCTGCCAAAGTGACCATCACTCTTCAGAGCCGTGACGGTCAAGAAGTTAGTTACAGGAGGAACAGCTGAGCAGCTGGGGGTTGACGTGTGAATCCTCTCACTTCAGCCTCTCCCGACTGAATTAGACCGCAGGGTGGCTGGTGGCCCGTCTCAGGTCCCACCACCTCCAGAGTCAGACGGTGCCAGAGCTCGGCGCGTGCCTGATCCCGAGCAGCACCCGTGTCTCGGCTGGAGCTTCTCTAGAGCGCATCTCTTTGCTTCTCAGCTAAATTGTTCTGCAGAGATCATGCTCCAAAATAGTGTTCTTACCAAGGAAAATGATTACTGGTTTCGGCTTTTACAAAATCGTGACAGACAAATATGACCCCACTGTGATGACTTCTTCATCCTCAGGAAAACTAAATTGATTAGATGTGCACGGTTTAATGGTAGATATTTTAGCTTCATAGATTCCAAAGTTTGTCTTCACTTGTAATCATTCTGTCCTCAGTTTTACAGTCATCTTAACCATTCTTTAAAACGGGGTCAGTCACAGGGAGGGGTAGGGGGAAGCTGGGACGAAGTGAGAGAGCAGCAGGGACATATATACACTACCAACTGTAAAATGGATGGCTAGTGGGAAGCAGCCACGTAGCACAGGGAGATCAGCTCAGTGCTTTGTGACCACCTAGAGGGGTGGGAGAGAGACGCAAGAGGGAGGGGATATGAGGACATATGTATACGTATAGCTGATTCACTTTGTTATACAGCAGAAACTAACACACCATTGTAAAGCAATTATACTCCAATAAAGATGTTAAGAAGAAAAAAAAACGGGTCGGTACCTGTTGAGACTTTGCAGGCCGTTACTTCTGGTGCAGCCTGTCCAGCTCCTCCCTGGGTGCACAGGTGGCAGGGCCAGCTCCTAAGCACACCGCTGAGGCCGCATCCCCCGCCCCGACTTCAGCCGCAGAAGCGGGCGGCTGGACTCGGCCCCCCGGCTGTGGCTTGCCGCCCCTTCTTTAAAACATCAGAACCGTGCGCCCAGACTCTGAGGTGGCTTCATGTATAAAACATTTGTTTTAAAATAACTAAAGTGAAAGAACCATGCGGTCTAGCCCATTCTTAGCATAACCGTCACCGATTTGCCACCTGCCTGCCTCCCTCGAGCCTGACGCTCCCCGCTGTGTTTTGTTCCGTCAGCAGATCCTCGGCAACACCAGCAGCCTGTGGTCCTCCACTCCGTTCAGCAGCTCGATCTGGTCCAGCAGCCTACATAGCACCCTCCCCTTCACCAGCCCTGCCAACGCGCTGCCGAGCATCGGCCTCATGGGCCCCGAAAGCCCCTCCGCTCCTCACACACCCTCCGCCCCCAGCCCCGCCGACGACCTGGGCCAGACCTACAACCCGTGGCGGATATGGAGCCCCACCATCGGAAGGAGGAGTTCCGACCCCTGGTCTAATTCGCACTTCCCTCATGAAAATTGAAATTAGGCAAAAGAAAAAGAAAAAAGTGGGGGCCCCTCGTCTAGATCATGATATGCCCATTTTCGAGACATCTTTTTAAGGCTCTTTCTTAACGCTAGAGCTTCCCAATCCCCACCCTCATCTTTGCAAAACAGACTCAAGCAGGGCAGGCTTGTACCACTCGCTTCTTTCAGATCTTTCTTGCAATTATGATAATATGAGATTTGCTGTTGTGCTTTTAGAGAAAAGTCTGGACTCAGCCACAAACTCTAATAAGACCTGTACATCTGAAAACCTTAACTGTTATCAAGTTTCCACCACTTGTCTTCTTCCATTCTTTATTTATCTGTATGAACACAAATTTGACATTACAGCTAAGGAAATAACTTGAGTTGATTCAGAAGTCCTGGCATGTGACAATTTTATTAAATTACCAAGTTTGGTTTTTAATAATTTCACAATATTATGCGCCAAGATCTAATTTTAAAAACGTATGAGGACTTTGTGCTGAAAAATAGAGTATTTTTTTAAAATAAGGCTGTCTCGGTTTAAAAGCAGATTACAGAAATGTAAGTCAACTTCAAGAACAGTGAATGAATGTAAAAACATTCGGTTGAGACCATACGCATTTTCTGTGCTGTTTGTACTTGAGGTATGTAACATTTGTATACCTGAATTTATTTTAAAGATAAACTGAAATGCACATAGCCAAGTCTTGAGATACAAGATTGAATGTGTATTTCTTAAAAATACAACTTTGTGTTGTACTTTGAAATAAATGATGCTTTTTTCAAAAGCCTTGAATTGTTGTTGTTTTTTTTTTTTTTTTTTACACACAAGATGCATGTATTTAGATTCTCTCACACCAAAGTAAGCCATTCTGTCATTGCCTTATCCTGTGGAGTCGGACTTACCGTGGCTAGAAGCACTGTGGTCTAATTAAATTCTGATTATTTCCATAGTATTCCCTAAAGGCCCTTGATAGGGACTTCCCTGGTGGAACACTGGTTAAGAATCCACCTGCCAATGCAGGGGACACGGGTTCAAGCCCTAGTCCGGGAAGATCCCACATGCCGCGGAGCAACTAAGCCCGTGCGCCACAACTACTGAGCCTGCGCTCTAGAGCCCGTGAGCCACAACTACTGAGCCCATGTGCCACAACTACTGAAGCCAGCGCGCCTAGAGCCTGTGCTCCGCAACAAGAGCAGCCACCACAATGATAAGCCCACGCACTGCAACAAAGAGTAGCCCCCGCTCGCCGCAACTAGAGAAAGACTGCACACAGCAACAAAGACCCAACGCAGCCAAAAATAAATAAATTTATAATAAAACAAAGGGCCCTTGATAGAAAAAAGTTCACACATCTTAAAAGAAGCATGTTGACCCTTTTCCAATTACAAAACTCCCACAGCTTCTCCAAGTGGTGCCTGTAGAGACCATACAGATACCAGGCAAGTTCCGTGGGCAGTTTGGTTTAATCTCTCAGAAAGTGTTGCCTGCTCCAGCTGCCTTTACTCATCCTCCTTTTTCCAATCTATAAAGCCAGTCTTTGCTGGGTAACCAGAGACGCCAAACATAAATGTTCTGTTTGAGGTCAATTACACGATGAAGAAATCCACCTGTCCAGCTCAGAGTGGTTTAGTTGAAGCATCATACAGAGAGATTTTAAGTCTGACCTTTTCTCTGCTTTGCAGCAAAGCTCAGCAGAACCAGCCCCATCGCTTTCCCAGCCTATGCTCTGCCTGAGACTTGGGACACCAGCTTCCTGTCCACTCAGAGCTCCAGCGCATCGGCCTCATGGCAGACCTGGGCCTTGTACAGTCTCACTAGCAGGGGCTCCTGTGTGCAGTTGCAAAATCGAGACATAAATTTAAGGCTTGGGATTTTCTTTGTACACCAAAGCAGTTCTTAAGGTGACAAAGCCACTGAACAGCTGAGCTTCATATAAACCCTCATTTACAAAATAAAAGATTTTGTTGGCAGACTTTACCTCAGTCAGATGATCTCAGGGATCCTAAACTCGCTCCTTTGGAAGAATCACCTGAAACTCCCAAACGCCTTCCTGCTTTCACCCCACGGGACCCTCGTCTGCAGGCTTGAGAATCACCATACACCTGGAAAAGGGAAAAAAAATACAAACAGGTTTCTGCTGTTACCTGGGTTTTCCAGATAACTCTTAGGGCAGGTATTTGAGAGGCAACATACTCACCAACTAAACCTGAAGCTTTGACGGGATTCAGCCTAACAATTTCCAGTGAAAAACTGGTTAGCCCAAGAGTTTGCTTTGTACTAGGCCAAGGTTGAATTTAAAAGGTATATATATAGCTTTAAAAGATATCCATTATTTTATTTAAATACAACGTATATAAAAATATAAATATATTATAAATTTTTATACCTTTATAAATAGTATTTATATTACATTACTACAATTCATGAAGACCATATGTTAACAAAATTTTAATGTCCAGATTGTTAACTTTAAAACCTTAGACCTAAATTAATCTTTAAATATTTGTTACAGTTTTTGAAAAGAAAACTGGCACAAAAAGAATTTTAATTTACCCTTATTTCTTAAAATATCAGTTGAGTAACAAAATATGCAAATGATTTTGGATGATAATATATTTTTGCCATCTCAAAATTTTAAAGTAATATGAGTACCCGTAAGATATTTGACAGTTTTTATACTTCTGTCTAGAAGTCTCATGTCTAAAGAAAAAAGGACAAGTTGGTTACTGCTGTAAGTCATAATTAACACAAATAGTTATACCGGGTACAGTAATTGCAGACACATTCGGGTTATATGCACAGGATAATTTTGGGTGGGCCAAAAAGTGCCTTCGGTTTTTAAGTAAAAATAAAAGACACATTTTTCATTTCACCAAGAACTTTATTGAACAACGTATTCACCCTTTTGTTCCACTACCTTCTACCATTTTTTAGGCAACTTCATAATTCCATCTTCCCAAAACTTTTTATCTTTTTGAGCAAAGAACTGTTCCAGGTGCCTTTTACAGTCTTCCAGGGAACTGAAATTTTTCCCATTAAGAGAATTCTGTAAAGACCGAAATAAATGGAAATACAAAGGTGCAATGTCTGGTGAATATGGCGGAAGAATCAGAACTTCCCAGACGAGCTGCAACAGTTTTTGCCTGATCATCAAAGAAACATGTGGTCTTGCGTTATCCTGATGGAAGATTATGCATTTTCTGTTGACTAATTCTGGACCCTTTTCATCGAGTGCTGCTTTCAGTTGGTCTAATGGGAGTGGTGGTTTTCCAGAAGGAGCTCATAATAGAGGAGTCCCTTCCAACCTCACCATATACTCAACATCACTTTCTTTGGATGAAGACCGGCCTTTGGTGTGGTTGGTGGTGCTTCATTTCGCTTGCCCCACGATCTCTTCCGTTCCACATTATTGTACAGTATCCACTTTTCATCACCCGTCACAATTTGTTTCAAAAACAGAATATTTTCATTACATTTAAGTAGAGAATCACATGTAGAAATACGGTCAAGAAGGTTTCTTTCACTTAACTTATGTGGAACCCAAACATCAAGGCGATTAACATAACCAAGCTGGTGCAAACGATTTTCACTGCTCGATTTGGATATTTTGAATATGTCAGCTATCTCCCGCGTGGTATAATGTTGATTGTTTTCAATTAATGTCTCGATGTGATCGCTATCAACTTCAACTGGTCTACCTGACTGGAGCATCATCCAGCGAGAAATCTCCAGCACAAAACTTCACAAACCACTCTTGACACATTCAGTCAGTCACAGCACCTTCTCTATACACTGCACAAATCTTTTTTTGTGTTTCAGTTGCATTTTTACCTTTCTTGAAATAATAACGCATAATATGCTGAAAATGTTGTTTTTCTTCCGTCTTCAATATTAAAATAGCTACACAAAAATTCACCAATTTTGATAAGTCTTGTTTTAAATGCATATTGATATGACAGCTGTCACATACTATCTAACAAAATTGTTTCGAATGAAGTTAAAGACAACTAAGTGCTACTACAGGCATCTTACGGAAAAAAACAAACAAACCTTTTGACCAACCCAATATTTTCTTCATTTCCTTTTTGGCTTGTTCATTGTCATTGTGTAGAAACACAACAAAGTTTTGTGTGTTAATCTGTATCCTGCAAGTTTGCTGAACTTGGTTTATTATCTCTCAAAGGTGTGTGTATTTGTGTGTGTCTGTGTGTGCATTTTCAATTCGGAAACTTTCATTTCTTTTTCTTGCCTAATTTATCTGGCTAGTAAGTCCTGTCCAATGCAGAATAAAAGTGGCAAGAGTATACATCATTGTCTTGATACTGATATTAGGAGGAAAGTTTTCAGTATTTATTTATTTAAGCTGCGCCTGGTCTTAGTTGTGGCACGTGGGATCTTCATTGTGGCATGCAGGGGGCGGGATCAAACCTGGGCCCCCTGTATTGGGAGCGTGGAGTCTTACCCACTGAACCACCAGGGAAGTCCCAGGTTTCAGTCTTAAACCATTAAGTATGATGTGAACTGTGGATTTTTCATAGATGCTCTTTGTCAGAGGAAGTTCCTTTCTACTCATAGTTTGTTGAATGTTTCTATCATGAAAGGTGCTGGATTTTTGTCAAATGCTTTTCATCTATTAAAATGATCATGTGGATTTCTTTCTTAATTCTGTTGATGTGGTGTATTACACTGATAGATTTTGTATGTTGAATCAACCTTGCAACCCTAGAATATATCTCACTTGGTCATGATGTATAATCCTTTTAATATACTGCTGGATTGGTTTGCTATGTTTTTTGTTTTGGGGGGTTTTTCTGAGAATTTTTGCACCTATATTAATAAGGGATATTAGTCTACAGTTTTCTTTTCTTGTGATGTCTTTGGCTTTGGTTTCAGGGTAATAGTGGTCTCAAAGAATGAGTTAAGTATTCTTTCCTCTTTTTTGAAAGTTTTAAAAGAGTGTGTTAGTTTTTAACAAATGGGAGCTAATTAAACCTAAAAGCTTTTGCACAGCAAAGAAAACCATAAACAAGACAAAAAGACAACCCTTAGAATGGGAGAAAATATTTGCAAACGAAGCAACTGACAGGATTAATCTCCAAAATATACAAACAGTTCATGCAGCTCAATATCAAAAAAACAAACACCCCAATCATAAAATGGCCAGAAGACCTAAAGAGACATTTCTCCAAAGAAGACGTACAGATTGCCAACAAACACATGAAAAGATGCTCAACATCACTAATTATTAGAGAAATGTAAATCAAAACTACAATGAGGTATCACCTCACACCAGTCAGAATGGCCATCATCAAAAAAAATCTACAAACAATAAATGCTGGAGAGGGTTTGGAGAAAAGGGAACCCTCTTGCACTGTAGGTGGGAATGTAAATTGATACCACCACTATGGAGAAGAGCATGGAGGTTCCTTTAAAAACTAAAAATAGAACTACCATATGACCCAGCAATCCCACTGCTGGGCATATACCCTGAGAAAACCTTCATTCAAGAAGACACATGGGGCTTCCCTGGTGGCGCAGTTGTTGAGAGTCCGCTTGCCGATGCAGAGGACACAGGTTCATGCCCTGGTCCGGGAGGATCCCACATGCCGTGGAGCAGCTAGGCCCGTGAGCCATGGCCGCTGAGCCTGCACGTCAGGAGCCTGTGCTCCGCAACGGGAGAGGCCACAACAGTGAGAGGCCCGCGTACCGCGAAAAAAAAAAAAAAAAAACACATGCACGGGAATTCCCTGGTAGCACAATGGTTAAGAATCCACCTGCCAATGCAGGGGACACAGGTTCAAGCCCTGGTCCGGGAAAATCCCACATGCTGTGGAGCAGCTAAGCCCGTGCGCCACAACTACTGAGCTTGCACTCTAGAGCCCGTGAGCCACAACTACGCAGCCCACGTGCCACAACTACTGAAGCCCACGCACCTAGAGCCCATGCTCCGCAGCAAGAGAAGCCACCGCAATGCGAAGCCTGTGCACCACAACAAAGAGTAGCCCCAACTCGCCGCAACTAGAGAAAGCCCGCGTGCAGCAACGAAGACCCAATGCAGCCAAAAATAAATTTTTTTAATCAAAAAATTAAAACTTTTTTAAATTAAAAAAAAAGACACATGCACCCCAATGTTCACTGTAGCACTATTTACAATAGCCAGGACATTGAAGCAACCTAAATGTCCATCAACAGAGGAATGGATAAAGAAGATGCAGTACATATATACAATGGAATATTACTCAGCCATTAAAAGGAACAAAATTGGGTCATTTGTAGAGATGTCGATGGACCTAGAGACTGTCATACAGAGTGAAGTAAGTCAGAAAGAGAAAAACAAATATCATATACTAACACATATAGGTGTAATCTAAAAAAATGGTATAGATGATCTTATTTGCAAAGCTGAAATAGAGACACAGACATAGAGAACAAAGGGTGGGGTGGGATGAATTGGGAGATGGCGATTGACATATATACACTACTGATACTATGTATAAAATAGGTAACTAATGAGAACCTACTGTATAGCACAGGGGACTCTACTCAATGCTCTGTGGTGACTTAAATGGGAAGGAAATCCAAAAAAGAAGGGATATATGTATACGTATAGCTGATTCACTTTGCTGTACAGTAGAAACTAACACAACATTGTAAAGCAACTATACTCCAATAAAAATAAATTAATTTTTTAAAAAAGAATGTGTTCGTTTTTCTTTGAATATTTAGTAGAATCATCAGTGAAGCTAGTTGGACCAGGGCTTTTCTTTGTTGGAAGTCTTCAATCTCTTTACTTGTTAGAAGTCTATTCAGAATGTCTATTTCTTCTTGAGTCAATTTGGTAGTTTATGTGTTTCTATGAATTTATCCATTTCATCTAGGTTATCTAATTTGTTGACATACAGATACTCATAGTATTCTCTTATATTCCTTTTTATTTCTGTAAGGTTGGTAGTAAGGTCCCCACTTTCATTCCTAATTTGACAACATTCTAACAGCACCGAATCTGCAGCAAACCTCCAAATCATAGACATACCCTCCAATGACCTAATCAGAGGTCAAGTCCTGTAATAGGTTCTTTTTCACACACTATTGCTGGAACACAACAAGGTTCACGATGGAGTGTATTCTCCCTCATCAACAAAGCATATGCTCAAATTGTACAACTACAAGTATGCTCCTGGTGGTCTTTGGCTTAAGGGCATTGAGAAGTGGAATATACAGTGGGTACAGGGACTGTGGAGTTGGTCTGGACTGGATTTCAATCCCAGCTCTGCAGTGAACATTTGC